GGTTCAAAAGAGTATCAGCTAGTTAGCTCATATACTTAAACAATAGTGTTTTGCTACCATATATTAAATATAGATTGCAGACATCCTTCTTATCAAAAGCAAAATGCGATCAAATATAAAGACTAATTTGAATGCTGATTAAAAACAAACTAGAGCTAGCCAAAATAGCAGTTAATAGTATATGTAGTCACTTAGAACTTCTAAGCCTTAGATCTATTTGGCAAAATCAATTAGTATATCATTTTACAAAACTAATATTATACCTAAATTAAGATAATAAGATAGGTATTACAATATAACTTAGAGTAAAGGATATACAACTAAGATACAAATCTAAATTTAGTCTTCTAAATAAGAGATACAAGTTTAGTACATACAAGATAAAAAACAATTTGTTATATCATATCATTAGTAATACAAGAAAATTATGTTTTAGATTTTAAGAAATACTCAAAAATACAAACAACCTAAAAATAGAGGGTCTAGAAATAGGAGATTTTCTAGAAGACAAAAATCATAAAGAGTTTATAGAGAGCAAAAATCTAAATTTGTTTACTATAAACTAGCTCTTAAAAAAAAAAAGCAAGTATCTACTTGAGTAGCAACAGATCAAATTTCTAAGAAGAGACAAGATGAAAAAGCAAAAGCCAAACTAGTTTAAGAACTTAGAGGAGAAGATTATTCAAAACTAGGGATCAAGAAAAGTACTAAACTTCTTGCAAACTCAAGATACGAATTGGGTAGCACTTAAAATAGAAAAGAAGAAAGTAAGTATAAATAGAAGGAAAAAGGAATAGATTCTGTTTAAAGAAAATAATAGAATAAAGTAGAGAAAATAACAAAGAAGACAAAAGCTCACATAGTAATAGCTTACTGGAAAGTAGCAAAGGATAGTAATCCTCTAAAAACAAGACTTGTTTATTATGAAAGCTATAACTTAGGAAATAAGAATGATATTGAGTATCTTATTTCCAAGAGTATAAGCAAATAGCATCAAACTCTAAAAGGAGTAATTAGGAAAAAAGAACAAGTTGCAGAGCTAAAGTCCTCTTTATCAGCTTATCTAGGGTATATAGTATCTAGTACAACAGATTTAGCTAGTATGTAATTAGAAGATATTGAACTTAGAAAAAGTAATAATACAAAGAGTAATCAAGGAAAGAGGTATTTAAGCAGAGCTTATTGATATTGTAAGAAAACTCTAAGGTAGAAAAGAACTAGATATATATACAAATAGATCACTTGTAAATAGAGAAATAGATAGTATAGAAAGTGATAAAATAGGAATAGGCTAAATAGTAACTTATAAGGAAGCAGGCAGTATAGATAGTATTAGCTTTAGTAGTAGTCTAGTAGACTGGCCCTTCTTAACTTGAGCTAAACTCAGTACAATCTAAATAGCAGCTCTAGTAGCTTCCTGCAACTCAAAATTAAATATCTTCTCAGATAGCAAGACAGTAATTAAAGAACTTCAAAAAGAAAGATTAGTTTAGAATATTTAGAGATCTTTAAAATAAAGAATCGTAGCTTAGTACATTAAATTCAGGATTGTTGTAAAGCAAAAGGTATCACTTTTAAACTTATAAAAGTTAAAAGACATAGCAACAATTAGTAGAATAACAAAGCTGATACTTTGGCAAAAAATAGTTTAAACTCAAGCAGATCTATTTCAGTAGATGATATAAATACTGATAACCTAAAAGTTCTACTTAAATAGAAGAACAAGCTTATAGACTGCTCAATTAGGTCTTTCGTAAATATTATAACAGTAGTAATATATAGAACAGAATGAGTAGAACTAAGTAGCTCGAAAGAAATAATCAACTACAGATCTAGTAACTATGAGGCTGAAGATATAAATTAGAAAAGTATATAGGAGGTATTTAAGTGTTATCAGAGAAGAAGAGACACAAGTCTCAAAAAAAAACAAAGCCTTGATATTTAGGATAAAATATCTAATTAAGCTTCTACTAACTTGTGATATTTGTTTTCAACAAAGATCTAATCTTTACAAGGGTATAACCTGTATAGCTTGTTGCATCACTAAAGAAATATTTAGTCATCTTGCAGAATATATAGTTTATCAAAGTATTTAGAAATATATAGAAGTAGTAATTATAGAGAATCTGAGACTTAAGATTATAGAAAAGTAGGATATTTCAGTAACAAGTGAAAATCTAGCTAAAGTTTTTTTTAGGTATTATACTAGAAAACAAAATTCAAAAAAAAAATTATATCTTCGAGGATTGACTAGCAAAAAGCATATCATAGAAGCTAAAGAACTTTTTGAATCTAGGTCTAAAGCAAATCAGGTTGTTAACTAGTTCATTGATTCTTTTTGATCAAACTTCTATAAGAAACTATAGAAGTTCTGCTGTGAAGTAATAGTCAACTAGAAAAAAGATAAAGAAATCAACTAACAGAAGAAAAAAAGGAAAATTAAAAGACAAAAGTTTAGAAGTTTAGAGAACAAGGAAAATATTATAGATATATATAAAAAAAAAGTAGAAGTATAAGCAGATAAAAAGATTGAGATCTTAGGAAAAGTGAAAGACAAAATTACAAATTGGATTAGGAAAGATAAATATGATAATTAGTTAAAGTTTAAAAACAAATAACTAGGCTTTTTTGATATAGGCTAGGAGTAGTCTTTTTTTGATCAAGACAAGAATAGTATATACTAGTATGCAGCTTGTCTTAGAAGAAAAATTGCTGCAGCAGCAGATTATATTTGGATACTATGAGAGCAGCTGAGTAAGTTTGGAATTGTAATGAGAAGGCAGTTTTAAGATTAGAATAGTTTTTTTTTAATTTTTTGTATTTGTCTTATTACTCATGAAGTAATTTTCTTAATAAAATAAAAGACAAGATTACCTAAGTTAAAAAAAAAAATCTTAGTATTTATATAAAAAAATTTATTTATCAATCTTAATTTCTAGTTTTTTACTTAATTTAAATTTTTTTTATCAAATATTCTTATATAAAAAAGCTTTATAAAAAAATATAAAAAAAAATAAATAGATATTAACTTTATTTAAAAATAAAAATAAAGATTGAAACAATAAAAAAAATTATTATTTGTTTTAGTTTTTTATTTGATCTAAATCTTTATTATTAAATTCTAATTTTATAAAAAAAAAAAAAACTTTATTTAATAAGAAAACAAAAAATTAAAAAATAAAAAATAAAAAACCAATACGTCTAGTTTTAGTTTTTTTTATCTAATTCAGATTCTGTTTCTTTATTACTGATTCTATTTCTATAATAGAATAAGATTTTTTGTTTCATCTAATATTTGAAAACTTTCAAATATAATATTTTCATGCTAATTAATCTTAATATAATAATAATAGCAATTATCAAAATTAAATATTCTATTTAGATATTCTACACAACTCTTTCTAACAATCCTTCGTACTAAAAATTCCCAACTTATTTTTTTAAAAAATATACAATAAACTTTGTAGAAACATAAGAGCAACAACACAAGGAAGCATAAGACAATACTTATTATTTAGAGATAGTTCTTATATGCTATCTGCTAACAGGTTTAAAGTTTATCACTCATTGCAATATCATAGCAGTACTTGTCATTTAGAAGTAGTTCTCATATGCTACTTGCTGACAAGCTTAGAGTTTATTACTCACCTACAGAAGATAAGTACTAGTTATACTCTAGGTAAATACAAGTAAATAGTATATTTTAAAAAATATATACTCTCTTTAAATCTTTTTAGCACTACTACTATTTTCCTCTAAATCTTTAGATTTCTCTATACTAAAAAATAAAAAAGTGAAAGATTTGATAAATTCCTAACAAAAAATCTACAAGTTTATACTACCTTCTAATTTGGCAAATCATCTGTTAATATGCAACTTAGACAAGACAACAAACATGTACATTACTATCACATAGATGATCTAATTAGAATTTAACTTCTAGAGAAGTTTATTGCTAGATATATATGTTCTTGTTTTTATATAGCATAATATTTTTATATTTTGTCATACTCTTTTTTTCTTTATATTAATTAGAATATTTGTTTCTTTTTCTTTTTTCTTTACTTTTTTACTTGTAAAGATTTTTTAATCTGGTAGCAGATTTTTTTCTTATAAGCTTAGTTCATATAATTAGCTACATTTTATTATATATAACAATTTTTATTTTTAACTTGAACTAGATATTAATAGTTTGAAATTTAGTTTAGATTAGATTAGAAGCAACCTAGGACCTTGATAAGGTATAAAAGAACCTATTGTTGATTTGAAGAAACTACTCAATTTAGATAGGACACTTTTTAGAAAGATAAATACTTTTTATAGTAGATTGTATCTAGGCAATGCAAGGCAAGCTGAGTGAATTTGAGATTGCAAGAATAGAATATATTAGTAGTTTAGAATATTAATTTTTTTCTTATTTTTGTATTATGATTTCTTTATAAATCTTCTATTAATAAACTAAAAGTAAGGTCACCTAAGTTAAAAAAAAAAAAATAATAATAAATTAATTAATTTATACTAAATTTATAAACTTAGTTTTTATCACTTCTTACTTTAACAAAAGAATAAAGAAAAAAACAGGTCTAGATTAGTGCTTTAATCTATATTCAACTAATTCAGATAGATCTGACAATTTAAATTAAATACAGATATTCAGATTTATTAATTTTAAACAGATAGATCTGTAATATATATCAGATTAAGGATAAGGATATTATTTGAATTGTAATCCTAGATAACTATCAATGTCTGGTACAATTGATTAGATATATAATTTACTTTACTTGTATTAAATACATTGCCAAACATAAATCTTGTGATAATAAAGTTTTAAATTATATGAAAATATAAGATATTACTTATGAATAGTATAAATTATTATTGCAACTAGTAATCTCTTTTTTTTATTATTGTTATCATTATTTTTGCTAGAAACTAGTCTAAATTTCATTAGTATACTATTAGACAGTATATGTATTAGTATTTTTATTAATTAGAAAATGCAATCTAGATCTCGATTACTAAAGTTTGTTTAACATAATTACAATATTACATATTAGTTAAATTGGATAAATTTTATGCATATAATTTAATATCAATATGCATTAAATATGCAATTAATTCATAGAAAGCTATATAAAGAAAATAGATAAAAAAGAATTAGTATATAGATTAGATTCTTTTTCTATTATAAATATAAAGCAAATATAGTATATACATATATCAGTGCTATATAATCAGTAAGAGGTATAAGTAGAGCATTAGCAATTAAAAAAAGGTGCCATTGATAAAGCTATGAAGTAATACTATAAAAAAAAAAATATATCTTTGTTGTAGTTGTAAATAAGCCAAATAATAAAAATAATCTGTGATATAAATCTATTTGTTAACTTACACATATATATATTAAGATATTAAATTTTTTAATTAAAATATAATATTTCAGTATAGAGTTTTGAAATTATATATTCTAGGATTAAATAAGCAGAATAGAATATAAATTTTAGTTTTTAGATTATTTGAAAAAATTAAACATGTCCAAACTGAAAAGTTTGAGAATAATACTATAACAGAAAAAATTATTGAAGTTATATCCTATATTATACTAGAAGTATTGTTAGATAAAAGTTATATACAAGCTGCTGATATAAATTACAGATTAAGGTTTTATATTATATAATAGTAGTAATGAATAAATTTGTTTGTTATTTTTAATTTTTTTATAGTTTTTTTTTCTTTTTTTTTTTTTAGAAAGATAATTAGCTTAAGAGTGATTGTAAAAAAATTTTATAATATTCAGAAGCTATATAATTAAAGTTTCTAAGGTTATAAAAAAGATTAAATAAGCAGGGTATTGATTTTAATTAGTTTTATACAAGTTAAATAAAAATTTATAAATAGATTAATTTATAAAAAATGACATAATAAAAAGCTAATTTATAAGTACTTGCTAGAGAATCACTTAAAAATTAATAGATTAGTTTTTGAATATTGGGTGTAGACTACAAAAAAAATTTATAAAACAATAGTAGATGATAATTTAGAATATTATTATGATAGTGACTTTGAAACTATGTATGTTGATTGAGAACAAGATATTCTATTTGAAAGTTCAAAAACCTCATCTCATTTATCAGCAACTGCTGAAATACCATCTAGTACTTAAATAGTCTTAGAAACTAAAGAAAAAGGTATTAAATTATAGCAATAAGCTAGAAGTTTAAACATATCTAATTATAGTTTTTAATTTTTAGACAAAAAGTCTAATAGCTCCAAATTTTTTTTTTTTTTTTTTATTAATTGATAATATCAGTTAGGAAAAGGATTAGTACATTTATATATCAAGGTGGTATATATGTGAAGCTAATGTATATTCCTAATATGCACTGTTGTTACTAAGACTATTTGTTAATAGTTAGGCATCTAGTATGATATTATACCCTTATTTTCTATTTGCTAGCTGATTTAAACAAAGTTACTATCGACTATAGAGGAGGTTAAGGGAGACCTTTAGGAAAAGGAGAAGATTAATTAGAAAAAACAATTATATATAGAAAAGTTTTGAAGTAAACATTTTTAAATATAAGTATCTATATTAGTATTATAGGTTATGGTAGTGGTTTTGTTAGATATAGATTGAGGAAGATGTATTCAGTTTGTATTTTTTTTAATTTTTTGAGTGATACCATGAGCAGTTTCCCATTTGTGATGAATTTGGTTTCTGTTATTTCAGATTTTATTATTGAACTAGAAAAGTAAAGAATTTGAGAGTTTGATGAAGAAGTTATTAGTTGTTTTTTTGATTATGAAGTTAATTTGGTTGTAGTGAGATGTTTGAACAATGCCTTGAATAAGGAGTAGAAGAGTATTTGTTAGGTTTTGAGAGTTGTTATTGTGGATAAATATTAGTAAGATAGTTTGAGGAGAAGTGTTATTTAAATTTAAAGTATTTAGAGTATTTGTTATTTGGTTGAGTAAAATTTGATATAAGTTAGTTTTGTGGAGTGTGCAAGAAAGTATATGTTTAGTATTCTCGTATTGGTTACAAAATATGCAATTTGGTGTAAAATATAAGTTAGGATAGCGAGTGTTTAAGTTTGCCATTGTTGGTAGATTATTTAGTATGATTTTGTTTCTGAGAGAATAGAATTTGTGGTTGTTATTTTGTGAATTGATTATAAGTTTACCAGTTTTTTATTATTATACTACAATTATAGCTACTATTAGATTTGTAGATTTTGAGACTTAAATATTTACTAAATATTCTAATCAAAATTCTTAAATAAAGAACTAAGTTAGAAAGGTAATAGAAAAGTTAACTTCTAGATTAACTTATTCTTTTAATTATTTAAATTTGTTAATATAGATATCAACTGTATCTGAGCTTTATTATATAGCAAAGAGCTGTTTTTGCTAAGTAGCTTTTTGTTAGATAATACAAAATCTTTCTCTAAATAAATAGTAAAAACTATAAATATTGACTCTATTGATATTTTGGCTATATCTAGTATACTTAAAATAATTAGAGATATATGCTAAGCTTTATAACTATTTTTGAATATTATTAGTAAGATAAGCAGATGCAAATTTAAGTTAATATACAATATTCTATCTGTTAGTTTTGGCTACCTATTCAAAACTTTTTAACCAAATTATAAGGTTTTGAGTTCTATTATCTTAAAAAGATTTGATCTTAAACAGAATCTTTTTACTATTAGCATCTAGAGCTTGAGCTAAGTTAGTTATAGCAATAGCTATACTTTGTAGTACTTAGTTATCTATATTTATATCTTCTGGTTCATCTTTTTAGATTGTATATCAGAATTCAAAATCTAAGTCTTCTTAATAGTTTACTTCTTAGTTATTGTTAACTATTTCAAAGAAATTGTCAAAGTTATATTTTTCTAGATTATTCTGATTATTTTGAGAATTATTCTAATTTTTAGATTATCTAAGATTTGAATTACTCTATTAAAGAATTTATTTAGTTGATTAGTGAATTTGTTTAGGCTTTGAGTAGATTGAATAGATTAGTAGGAAAGTGAAGAATTTAGAGGAGTATAGTGAGAGAAGGATGTATTATCAAGAGTTGGATTTAGTTTTCAGAGATAGAGAGATTTCTATTTAGTAAAGTAGTAATAGGAGTAAACTAGTTTACAAAGTTAGTTAATACTGTTCAAGAATTAATATTAAGATTAAAATATTATTGATTTGAAGTATTAATGAGAGGAATAGAAAAAAATTGAAAAGTAGAAGTATATATAAAAGGATTAAGAGAGATATCAGTTAAAAGTAAAGTAGGAGTTTGTTATTTATTTAATAAGGGAAATTAGACTTGAGTAGTATTCTCATTATATAAAGTTAAAGAGATTAAAAATTGAGTTTTAAGAATTATAACTTAGTCTAGATCTATTAAGAATTTACTAGCTATAGAGCTTTGTTCAAAATAATCAAGACTACTATAGTATTCATTAAAGATAAAAGAACTAAAATTTTCTAAAGCTTCTGCTAGAGTTCTATTTAAATAAGAATTAAAGTAGTAGAACTAGTTTAGAATTCAATATAAGGATCAAAGACTATAGTTTCAAAACTAAAGAGAAAATAAAATTATAGAATATATCAGATATATTTAGTTAGAAGAGTTTTAATAATATTGTTAGAGTTTTTTAAGGGAGTATTATATCAACAACTAAATATAATATTATATACTACTGCTCTGACTTCTGACTTGAGTATAAGTAGAGCTATTAGTTAATTCTATGTATATAGTTATAGTTTGTTAAGAATAGGATTTAGTATAGTATATTCATCTGTACTAATTCTAAAAATTATAGTATAATCAGTAATAGTTGGTTCTTAGATAGCATAGCTAACAGAATAAATTTGAATCTAAAGTTTGAAGTACTACATATGCTTGACTTATATTTTAATATCATAAATTATATACTTGTATTTTTTCTATATGTATCTGATATACTCTATTCATATATGTTGAGTAGTAAGATACTTATTTTTACACTTTGGGTCATGAGATATTTGAGATTACAAATTAGGTTTGAGATTACTTATACCTACTTATTTGGCTTGTGGGTAATTTTTACTTAACTTTTCTATATTAAGTTTCACAATAAACTGCTAGTTAATTAGAGTTTTTATATCTATGTTTAGGAATTTTTTTCTCTCCTTCCCGTATTTATTCTTGGCTCATAAGATACTCATCTTTCAGATGTTTTTATTTCTGAGAACTGCAGTAAGCTACTAGCTTTAATTTGAGAATTTACACTTACAAGTTTATCTTGTAGAGTACTTGCCTTTAGGTATTTCTAATTTGGAAGTTGCAGTAGGCTACTAGATTTTATTAGAGTTTTTATACTTACAAATTTGGCTCATATAGTACTTATCCTTCAGGTGTTTCTAATCTAGAGGTCACAGTAAGCTGCTAGCTTTAAAGTAGATATAAATAGATATAGTCTGAGTCTGAATTCAACTTTGAAAAGTCTGTATAATGTGAAATAAATCTTTCTTAGTTCAAGACAATATAGAGTGATTTTTCTTTTTTTGTATTATAGTGTAATATAGATCTATTCTAAAAGTCATAGATTTCTTTTTTGATATTTATATAATATATACTAGATATAATATAGATTGAGATTAGCAAAAGATGAAAAAGAGACTTTTTGGTTTCTAGAAGAGACTTTTTTAAGGATTATTAAAAGAGAAAAAAGAAGTTTTTTTATTTTAGAGAATGTTTCTTTAGAGCTCTTTTAAAATTTTTTTAATTATTTATCTTTTCAGAAGTATTTCTTTGTTTTTTTACTAGAAAGTATTAAAATATTACAAGTAGTATAGCCTTCTTAATATACCTTAAGTAATATAAGATATGAAAAAAAAACTTTCAATAGTATCAAAGTAGAATATTATTACTATAGCAGTTCATTAATAAAGTTTATTTTTAAAGTCAAAAGATTATATTAATTAAAGAACTAGTAAAGAACTTAGAACTTTATTGAGTATTGTATTATTAACTATAAGACTATTTTACTATTATTTAATAGAAGATTATAAAGGATCAAATCTCTAAGATAATAGAAGATTATAAGAAACAAATCTAATCTGAAGCAAAGAGAAAAGCAAAAGTTTATATAGCTTTTTAGAAAAGGTAGAAAAAGTAATTTGTCCTATTATTGCTTCTAAGATAACTTAATAACTTTATAATTGTTTTACATGATTTATAGCTTGTTAGAAAGGTCTCATCAAGTTGAATCTAATGGTTTAACTTAAATCTAACTTTAGCTATTTAGTTTATTGAAAAATTGATATTAAATAAAATATATTCAAGAAATTAACTCTATAAAATACTAATAATAAATAATAAAATAATAATAAAATAAAATAGATAAAGCTTATTATATAATAATATAAATTAGTTAAATCTAAATTTTTATATAACTAAACCTTTAAATGAGTTCTAGTCTAGAACTAATTCAAACTTTTTTACTACATATTTAGCTATAACTATATAGAATAACTTTCTCATAATTAGTTATCATATAAAAATAAATAATATATTATTATTAGCTAATTGTTACATATATAATAATAAATTAATTCAGAACTCTTTCTAATGATCTCTTATACCAAAAATTTCTAACTTATTTTTTTAAAAAATATACAATAAAC